TTAGTGGAAAATTCAAATGGAGAATTTGTTGAAATGTTGAAAAGAAGTGTTGACTTTTTTAACTGTAGATAATATTACTTATCTTACTCTTTCGAAACAACTTTATGTTAAAATTTGTTTTCCAACAAGTATTTATTAAGCTGACCAAAATTTTTATAGATGACCAAGATCAATGCTCTTCTAGTAGCTGACATTTCTTTTATCTGCTACTCAAACCAAATCAAATACAATTGCATAATGAATCAATCGTACTATAAGAAATGGTGTTTGGTTGGGTAGTGAGTGGGTCTACAATTTTAAGTAAGCAAGATAGTTATCATTGTGGATTAGTAAACAATTTTGAAGATTTAAATAATCAATCAACAAAATTCTAGAAAGTAAAATCGCTTGGTATTCAAGATACGGAAATGAGGAGTATAAGGCCCTTGAGATGTTCAGTTAAATAGTCTGTTTTAGAGACGGGCGATATGAGATTGGTTAACCTTGGAAGAGAAATTAGGAGGAACTTAAAGACAATTACTATGTTGCAAAAATCGACTTTCAAATCTTGATAAGAGAATGAAACATAATTCCTTGCATTTAGAATAATGCGATAGCTTGAACAGTTATTTGAGTGACAGAATTATTGAGAATCGTACTATAATCGTACGATTCTCATCAATCGTATATCAGCTCAGTTAAAGAACTGAATAAACCTTTATATTACTCATCCCACCATGCAGTTGTAAGGCAAGACAGCATAACTACCAAGGTATAAATTGTTTTTGATGAAAGTTCTGTTTGTATCAATGAGTTAATTTAAACTCACATATATTTCATTTATTGGCATTCTTTTGCTTAAAGAAGATTGCCTTCTTGGCAAATATAGAGAAGGCTTTATTGCGAATTTCTTTATGTGAAAGAGATAGATGCAGTGAGATTTCTTTTCATAGACAATTAATGTGTATAATTTATGTGTACATAAATTAAAAGGAATAATTTTTGCTGTCAATGCAAGTCCCTTTTTAGTAGCGGTAACCATTAAAAAAAATATAGACACAGATGTACCGAGAGAACTTTCCTGCTACAATACAAACGCTTGATACCTATTTTTATCTAGACGACCTTGTTACAAGTAGTGACGATACAGTATCTGCCTTTGAAATTTCTAAAACTGCTGAGAAAATAATGACAGACGCTAAAATACTCTCAAGAAAGTGGATTTCATATTCTGATGAGTTAATAAAGAAAAGGAAAGCTGTGGGATTTAAGATTTAAATAGATTATACAGAGTTCTTAGCCTTTTGCGGGATCCATGTAGTGATTCATGTTCATAGAAATTAATACAAAGTCCAAAATCCAGACTCGTCAGGACTTCAGCGATTCCGGATAACAAGATCATCAGTTTAAATCTAGTAAGATGGCATGTAGAAATTATAAAATTAAAAATATGAAATCATGATTTATGAAATAATAAAGTACAGTAAGACCCCGCTTAACGCGGGGGATACGTTCCATCAAAGTAGAGCGTAATGCGAAACAGCGCAAAACGAGGCTATCTTTACATGTAAATATTGGGTTAGGGGAAGATGGCTAGGAAATTGGTTAGGTATTAAATTTAAAAAGTATGTTTTTTTAATAAAAATAAAACCAAACATTTATTTCTTAAAGCCCAAATTAATACCACATTATTATTTCTTGCAAAAATAAAAAACAAAATATAATAACAAAACGAACATTCTTAAAAAAAACAAATAAAATTCTAAGTCAGTCATATTTAGTTAGCCTTCCGCGTTTTCAGTGTTCTGCCATTTTGTGACAAAAGCATCTAATGTTGTTTGCCTTTTTCTTTTGCGTTGTTCTCTTAAAAGTTCTTCATAAATGGATAGAGCATCTCTAACACCTCGCCTTACTTTTGAGCTCCTGTCAAAATTCGGATCATTTTCAATGAATTGATCCATTATTTCAGTTATGGTAAACAAACTCCTTTTCACAAACGCCATCGAAAGTTCTTTTTGCTCTTCTTCTGAATCACTGCTGTCAACATTTTTGTTTTCTTCTTGTTCAGTTAATTCCTTGAGCTCATCATTAGAAAGACTAACTGCTGCTTCTTGAATTATTTCTTTGACATCTTCCCCATTTACCCCTTCAAAATATGTCTGTACAATACCGCACCAAACAAGAAATACAAGTACACTCTTTCGGATATGTATTTGAAACCTATCGCTGCATAATATTTCAGGGAATCCCCGTATGCTGCGAGCGATTTCGTGGAATCCCCGGGTTGAAATAAAAGAGCGCTAAACCGAAACAGCGCTAAACGAAACAGCGTTAAGCGGGGGTCTTACTGTATTTATGATCTAAAGGGTATCAAAATTTATAAAAAAAAAGCTTAATATTTATTTGTTTACCTTATTAAACATTTCTTTCGATGTAAGTTGTTTTAAGTTGATTCGTTTTTTGTGCTAATACTTTCTCTTTAATTCTGTAGACAGACATAATCGCTTGTTTAGTTACATTGTTGAAGTTTTGTAACTGCTGTTTCGAGAATTCTGAATAACTTTGTCAATCGAAATTTTCTGGTTTTCAGTAACTTCTCTGTTACTTTCTTCACTATCGGTAGCTGCATTTTCTGGATCTAAAACCATACGCCAATTTCGCCATTCATGATATAAAAATTTCTTTTACATTATCTTCATTCATTACTGCTTCTCTACATTTCTTTACAAAATCTGTTAATAGAAAAATTTCACTGTTGCTTTGCAATATCCGAAAACCTTTAAAATTAGCGGCAAATTTAGCTATCCTTCACTATACATATTTAGCTATGCATCATGATCTTGGCGACTAACAACAAGTTGTTCTGTTAAATTTTATCTTACTTCTATCACGCACAGAGACAATTAAGCCTGAATTGTATTAGTTTAGTTATTTATTATATTTATGTCTATTTCTTGCACATGCTTAAGGCTTATCAGAGTTCCGAATAATTAAATTGCCACCATATATTTAAGCTTTATTGATGGCTGGCACTAGATATCTTACCACCTGATGCAGTCTCTGTGGTGCCTAAAATCTGCGATTGAATGCGGCCATATGAGCCCTGGCGCTTCTGTGTTTATGAGACTAACAAATCAGTTATTCTTAATTTAAATAGCCCTAAATGTAATCTTTGGGTCTATGAGCATCATTAACAAAACCTATTTTTAGCACATGCAAAGAAATCTTTGGTAAATTTTTCCTTGTCAACATTTTTTAGCGCATTTAACTAAAATCTAATCATCGCCAAGCGTAATATCAACAATAAAAGGTTACCACACTCCTTTATTATTCAATTACTAACATAAAAAAATTGCTTAGGCATCGCTATAGGTTTCATTACTCAATTGTCATGTTTTGATAAACATGCGGTGAAGAAAGGAAAGCATAATAAATAATGATTCACCAGGTTGGCATCAGATCAATGATGTATCTGTGTGGAATGTTTTGGTTCGAGATGTATGCCAAGCAAGTATGCAGCAACGGGGCCAAATTACTGATCGTAAAAATTTAGGCTAAAATGATTGTTTCTTCAATAACAAGGTATTTTATTCAGTGTCAAAGTGAAATTAAGAATCAGGACTCTCCAGATGTTTTCTTATGCGCAGAGGGGGGCATCAAATGTGCATGCGTAAAGCCTACGAGAAAACCTGTTTGTTGGTGGTTTTGAGGTCTGAAATTTAGATCATTCTGGATAATGGAGTCCGGATTTCGGACTTTGTACTGTAGTTGGCTAAAATTTCTCCAACAGGAAAGCAACACTAAATGGTTTCTAATAATGGCTGCTGAGAAAATCTTTGACCCATTAGGTCATGTGATGCCCTTCACTATCCATTTCAAATGATTGTTCCAGGAGATCAGACAAAGAAAACTTTCTTGGGATGAAGACCTCCTGATACAAGTGAGGAATGGATGTGGTGGTGTAAAGAAGTTCCAGAACTTAAACATTTAACAGTTCCCAGATATATACTTGGTTCTATTACTAATCAAGATGCAGACCTGGAAATTCATACATTTTTGGATGCCAGTGCTGAGGCTTACAGAGCAGTTGTTTTCATTAAGTTAAAGGTTGAGAATGAAATCTTAATCAATCTCAAAATTCAGAGTGGCTCCTTCAAAGAAGTTATCATTGCCAAGATTTGAGCTTATGGGTCTTTACTTGTGATAAGATTAGTTAGTGAACTGAAATAATCAACAAAAAAACAAATACAAGAAGCTTTTTTTAGGGAGAGATTCAAAGGTCACCGTATATTGGATTCAAACACTATACTCTGTGGTGCAACAGCCCTAAGGGGCCATGGCCTGCAGTGCCTTTTTTCTGCTTTCTTGACCTTTGGGCCATATTGGATTTAAAGCCCAAGTAAAAAGTGGAAACAATTTGTATCAAACCGTGTGAAGGAGATACAAGACTTGACAACTGAGGTTATGTGCATCATTCTCCTGGCAAAGATAACCCAGCTGATTACTTATCCCTAGTGAAAGTATTGATTCTCTTGTAATTTTTTTTCCTTAAATTTTTTCTCAAGAGAGTGTGCGTGTGTGTGTGGGGGGGGAGGTCAACTTACATCTGGATATATAAGGTAATGAAGAAATTCACAAATTACCAATTCACATACTGCTAAACTAAACCTATTTTAAAGTCAATAAAATGGACATTAATTGCCAATGTAAGAATGGCATTTTGTGTTCCATTTCTTTACTTCTCCTAGAGGATTTGTCCAATCATGTGATGAACAGTGTAATTGTAACCCTAAAATCTTATAAAAATTAATGTCAAAGATAGATTTAGCAACAAACCATATAATGGAACATTTCTAGTCTTTGCAAAACAAACCATAATAATAATAATAAATGTGAACTCCGTAAAAAAGGGGAGTCTTCAAGCAAAAAACTGTAAAACAACAGAAGTTTCAGCAAAAATTACAAAAAAAAAAAAAAAAAACATAAAAGTTGGTACAAGTGTAAAATATTTTAAAACTTACCTTTGGAAGAGATGTAGAATTTTCTGACACACTTGGTATAGCAACATTATAATTAGCTAAAGAATTCAATAGAGTTGCAACTCTAGGTCTTTCGGGCATTTCCTCCTGAAATTGTTTTAAGATCAATATTTGTTTTTTAATCTATTCTTTACATTAACAAAAATGCAGTAACCTTTATATTAATACTACTTAGAAAATGTGGAATTTTTTACGTATATAAGAAAAAACTTTAAAAAAAGAATGATGTGTAATAGTTGCAATAGTATTCTGAAGCTTGTAAAGTCTTTGTTTTAATCTTGAGCAGTGACTGGGCAAAAGATTTCGCAGTGTACTGCGGGGGTACTGCAGGGAAAGCATGATATAATATGGAGACTTGAAGAGGGGATGTATGCAATTAAAATTAAGAATTTTCTGATAGTTGCTTGCAATTAAGTTTTATTTGGTGATACATTTTTCTTCATATTTTAGCGTCTTACACATATATATAATTTTATACTTATGACTTAGAAAAGGTCTTGATGAATAAACCTTTTTCTTTAAGCAATAAAACATTTCCTTGAATCCTTAGTTTTCCCCTCTCCAAGATAATACAGACAGCAGTTTCAAAACATATATGAAATAACAGAGGAATAAACTTACATGATATAAATAAAGATTCTTTTCATAACTGGAAAGATTTCCTTCCAGAATAATAGGTTCTGCATCTCTGTGATCTAATAGAAAAGAAAAAAAAATTCAATTACTTTTTAAATTTCAGGAGGGAAAAAAAAAAAAAAAAGACAAGTGTAATGAAGTGACAGCTCTGAAAAAGTAAACTAGCAAGAACTTTAAAGCTTGAATATGAATTTTTTGTCAACTAAAATATGAATTTTTTTAAATTGGCTGGAAACCACTAGATAGATCAAATTATCATACTAATTGAAAATTAACAAGATGTTCTGATATTAATATCCATTAAATAAACAGTTATTAATACATTTCTTATAATCAGAATACAGTTTTAAAGTTCACAGTCAATTACTTTAGCAGATATATAAAAATATGGGCACATTTACAAAAGTTTTTCATTATTTAAGATTTGCCTCCATGCACACACTTTTCTGACACAGAAATTTTAGTCATACAGCACATTAACATTTTCCCATACATTTAGTACAGTACAAAGGCCAAATTCCGGACGTCCATTATCCGGAATGATCTAAAATCTGGACCTCAAAGCAACAAACTTTTTTTTATTAATGCTTTACGCATGTGCATTTGATTTTTTCTTCCATAATAAAACATGTG